TACGCGACTCTGGGATTTGTAGTCTTTCTAGTTGTGTATTTTTCATAGCCTTATATTTCAACAATTTTAGAAGACAATGTGCTCCTCTCTTCGCTGCTGAAGCCTTTCATGGCTCGGCTATTTAAATCAGACTCAGTTTCTCAGCAGGCTGATTATACAGGGATGCTTCTGAGCTGCTCACTAGCTAACTAGTCAGAGGGCATTTGTTCCAGCGAGGTTTTATGTAAAATGCAACAAGGCATGAGGTACAAAGACAGAGGAGTCAGACCTGTGCATGTCCGCCAGACAAGCCCAACAAGAGGGGAGAGCGCTGTGAAAGATTTAACCCCCCGCTGCTCCGTGGAGTAGCACTGGCAGAGACAGAGCAAATTAGCCAAGCACCTTCCCGGTGGGACATATGGCCTTGATTGAACTTGAGTGGTCTTTGTGTTAGATGAATTATTGAGGAGGAGTAGTTTCTCCAAGACAGCTGAGCTCGAGATAAAGTGCAAGTATCATGCAGTGGGGTTTTATCAAAGTTTTATTTGTGTATGCCGAAGCTCTAAAATTCACTCTGAAGCCATACTGTTGTTGCAAGGTGAGCGGGACCCTTTGGGGGGGGGGGGGGTTAAGTGAGGGAAATTAGCAAAGCAAATTTACAGTTGAGATATTATGCAGAGCCTGTCTTCACTCAGGTCTGGACTTATTCAGACTTTAACCTGTTGAGCCCTGAGCCTGTTTTTCAGGTCTCAGGCTCGAAAATGACATGCCCAGAACAAATGACTATATCTTCTAAAAGGGGTAAATTAATAATCTTTTTTCTCAAAGCAATGATACACCTGGATGTAGAAAAGTCAGAATCGATATAGATGTTTTTATTTTAAAGTAAATTCAGATTGAACATAGTAAAAAAATGTAAATTATAGTTTCCGTCCAAAAAACCCCCATTACTTATAGTGAAAACCACCCTTGAGTGATGGGATAGTAGACTAAAAGCTTTAGGAATCCAAACTATAACATATAATAAGTACCCTGTATCAAGATTGATGCAAAACAAGTTAAATTTGACCTTTTTAGAGAGGTTTAGAAAGAAAAAAAACACCTCTCAGTGATGATACTTATACCATTGGAATCTGTGGAATCTCAGCTTTCAGATGATATCTTGTTTGTGCAGATCCGATGAAGTATAAAAGATAGCTAACGTGAGTTATGTGCTAAGTGCGTTTGCACTCTTTCTCTTAGTGCTAATTCAGAGAGGCTTGGCGTTAGACTTGTGTTTTGTTTAGGTAAGAATTGTTCATATCGTCAGTTAGCTGAGGTTCTTCCCGTTAAGTGGGTATGAAACATTAATAGGTTGTTAAATGTTAAGAAGCCCTGAGACACAGTTTCGTGAATATTGTTGTGATTGCCCCCGCCCCCACAGAAGTGTCCTCCTCTCCAAAACTAACGAACCCCCTGATTACAACCAGTAATATTAATGAATGAATAAGTTTCACATGAAACATCTTTGATGCAGCTGCAAATGTCTGCACAGCTTGTTCCTCTGAAACTTAGCATGTTGTTAAAAACACACAAGATATTATAAGTTAACCTTAAAAATGTGGCTTAAAACCGGATAAAACATCCCTTTGTGACAGTTTCATGAAGCTCAGCGCAAATTCTTTCAGGAAGACTGGGTATATCACTCCTTAGCTGCATATAATCATCTCATCACGGGCGTTCTCTTTAACCTATTACATTTCACCTCAATCTCCAGCAGCCAATCACTGTGCTGCAGCCAAACTTTAAAATGGTTCTCCTCTCCTGCAGTCAGCTGTGATTTCAGGTGTTCATGCTGGGGCCCGGCCCCACCCCATCACCTCCTGTCATCATTTAAAGTGCCAGGAGAGCTAATCCAAAGACCTCCTCACACCTCCTCTTCATCCCATCTCCTCATCAAATCCAGATCTTCATCATCATCACCAGTGTCTATACCCCAGAGGGGGTTTCCTATATGCTCACGGTTGCCAGAGTTCCCGTTAGCCGGTAATTACCGGACTATGACCGGTAAAATATGCGGAAGTCCGCCAAATCTAAATCTCTCCGGTCAAAATATTTTGCCCTTAGCGCAATATAAAGTGTATTCAAATAAACAATAAATAGATTTTTGTTTGTTCTTTTAAATGAATCCTTTTTTATGTTAATAGGCAAACACAGTGTAGGCCACGGTAGGCGTAATGTGGAACGAACCCGTTACATTTGTTTCATTCAGTAAGATAAAGCGGGCGCACAATAACAACAGGACGACAGAGAGATGAGAAAAATCGGACAAGGCAAAACAAGCTAAGCTTAAAAATTATTTTTTGAAACCAAGCAGGTCTAATGATGATAATGCCGACAATGAGACGGCGATACCGCCTGCAGTCAATGAGACCGCAGATGCCTTGGCCCCGGACAGAAAAAAACACCCGCACGTTCAGACCCGAATGGAAAGATAAATTCACCTGCTGAGGTGCGACATTACAGATGGGGAAGAAATTATGTTCTGCTCACACTGCGAGAAGTCGGGGAGAAAGAACGGGTTCACCAAAGGAGCAACAAATATGAGAGCCTCTGCGCTTATTGAGCACAATCAGAGCAATGAGCACATTTAGTCAGTGAACACAATACCACAACAAACCGCAATGAAAGGCCACTGTGAGAGGGCGAATGAAGCTTCCAACATGAAGCTATGTTCTCAGCTACAAGTAGTGTTTCACATGGCTAAAAACCACATTGCAGGTCATCAGTATGCAGGGTTGACTGACCTACTAAGAGAAGTGAAGGCTCCTGATTTTGGCACAGGTGATGGAATTTACCGGCACGGTGATTCCGTTGATGACTAAAGAAGAGTGACTTTATCGGAATTATCCATGACGAGACGGTTAATATCACTGTGGACAAAAAGCTGATAATATACGCCAAGTTGCAAATTAAAGGAAAAGTGGAGACGTGTTTTTTGGGAAACTGACGTGCACTCCGGGACAGCACAGTGTATATTTGACAAGGTGGGTGAGATGCTCCGCGAGAGGGATGTGAAACTGTCAAGCGTCATTGTCCTGGGCTCAATGATGATGTGCTACCTGTTATGACCAAACTGAATTTGGTTTTCCAGAAAGAGGATGTCAATCTGGCCACAATCCGACCAATGGTTCACGGATCAGGTGCGGCACTCACACAGTTGAGGGACGCCCCCGGTCCCGAAGAAGAGAGGTTTCAGGCAGATTGCCAAAATGGCATTTACAGGGATGTGAATGTGACACACGCAGATGACCGGTCCCGGCAGGCTTTCAGTAATGTCCATGTATGCTACATTACACATCTTATAGATGCTTTACACAACCGCTTTCCTGAAGAGTCCCTGAGTATTATCACTAGCTTTGACATCCTTCTGAACCCATCCCGATACCCAAACGCACAAAGTGGTAAGTATAAGCCTTCCTAAAATTGTGTCACATGTTATTTAAATGTATTTATTTGCGTTACATAAAACAATTTATTATTTCTCCGTCCCTTCAGCGCTTCAAATATACGCTGAACCAGCCCTCAGAACCATTATTAGTCATTTTGGCCAAGGGATTGCCAGTGAGGATGACTCAGCGCAAGCCAGAGCCCCTCTCATTGATGCCACAAGCGCGCACAGAGATGCCATCCCCGTGATGACAGCGCTCCGTGGATACGGTGGCTTGCATTTCTTAATGGCTTGCGAAGTCCTCATAAGAGATTTCGGCAACATCTATCCTGAGTGGGCCACACTGGCCAAGATAGCCTGCGTGATCCTTGTCTCCAGTGTGCCGGCAGAGAGAGGATTCTCTCAGAACAGAATCAAAACAGCGCAGCGAAGTCGGCTTGGCAAGAACAAGGTCACACGGCTCATGCGCGTTGCTAGTTGTGGAGAGACACTCGGGACCTTTGATTTTAAATCCGCAGCTACCCACTTCACAGGTCTGAAAAAGCGTAGAAAGTAGGCTAAAACATCATAAGCTAGGCATTTTGCTCTAGTTTTGTCAATGAGTTTGTATTACAATTTTTTTAAAGGCTATTTGATAACAAGTCGGCAGCTGCGAGCCTTTATTAAAATGCTCACGACGGGCCTATACTCTTTTAGTTTGTGAACAAATAATAATGATTATGTTTTATTTTATCTGACTATATGTAGGCCTAAAGCCACAAAAAACCCATGTTCTTCAGAACATGGGTTTTTTGTTTATTATATTATGGCTTGCGTAATATTTCCGTTACGCACGATATTGGCGGAACTTGTTTGAACTTTTATTAAAAGTTACTTTTCAATAAAAGATACATCTGCATGCCTTGATTATTTCATTCTTAATATAGAGTTGTTATCAATTAGTTTTAAAGCTCAATAAATAACAAAGAAGACCTTTGACCAGGAACTTTCCAATTTTGTCCGGAAGATTTAAATCGTAACGGACAGGGTGACCGGCACACATTTTTTCTAACGGGAACTCTGACGGTTGCATTTCCCCCTTTAGATATACGATTTCAGGATCGGGGTCTAATCGCCAAAGACTTAACATTTATCATATGGCGCATGTGTCAATAAATGTTCTTTAAACAAAATGAAGTCTCTCCTGATTGAATTGCAGGCTAGCACGAGGCTGAGTCAGGCTCAAAGGGAAACCCCATCATTACAGACGACCAAATCTAGCACTTTGTTTCCTTCATTAAAACTGCACTTTTCTCTGGGTTTGAACATTGTTGTAAACATTTGGGATCGTGGAAGTAGACAACCAAACTTAATATAAAACATTTGTATGCTCATTTCTTTACAATATGATAGGAACATTTGTATCATCATTAATGTCAGACACCTTTGCAACATAAAGTTTCTATTTCTATGAGCTGACAGGATTCATTGCCAAATAATGAGCAGTTCTGTAGCTGGAATATAGACATGATGATCAAGGATCTGTTCATGTTTAGGCATGATGGATATCCAGCAAACACATTCAGAACATCCCCACGACAGCCTCTCCTACCATGATGCACCACTCCCTTCAGGCCGTGGATGATGGGGTCCACAGCGGGGTTGTCCTTCCCTCCCACCTGAGGAACACAAACAGACATTGTCACATAACAATATTATTCACAGGAACCATCACTGCATACATTAAAGCAGGGGTTTTCAAAGTGTGGGAAGGTGAGCCTCCCCTCAGAGAACATAAGAGCTCCCAATTATTATTGCTATTATTATTGTTATTATTATTGTTGTTGTTGCTATAATGCAGGGTTATTCAATTGCATTTCAAAGAGGTCCAGTAAGAGAAAATGTCATTAAATGCTCTGTTTTCTCTGTCTACCTTTCTCTTTTTTGAGCACGCCATTTGAAATGACTCCGACTGTTTCTCTCTTCTTGTCTCGTCTCTGTGTGTGTGTTTGAATCTATCGTGCTGACTCACTGACTGCACCGATTTGATTGGCTGAGTAGCGTCACCTCCTTAAAACATTAAACAATAACTTTTTCAAACCTTTTTATCTTTATGTTTTAAACATATATTTTAAACATTCTTAACATTTTCAACATCGTGGATAAATCCTTATATGTGACCTGCTCTATCGAAATCAGTTGCATTGACCCGAAGACACATTTTGAGTTGTATACACTGTTGGAAAGAGGAGATTCATAGCTTTCTAATGATATCAGGATTGTTTTTGTACTCCAAATATTAAGCAAAATATGTCACATTATATAATGACTGTCACCGAGTCATCATTTTGAGAAAAAGGCCTTCAAAGTTTCCTCTTCTCTGGAATCCATCGATCTGATTGATTATTAGTGGAGCAAATGATCAAAATAGTCCGGAGGGAAAATATTTCCGTTTGGATTACTGGTCTGGGGGAAGCTCGCGAGTGTGTGTGTGTATGTGTGTGTGTGTGTTTGTGTTTTTTTGCGTTTGTGTATATTGTGTTTGTCACCCGGGGAAAACACTCACGAGAAACACCGGCTGTTGTTATGCCTGCTGTGACTTTAAGTTACTCCGTTCTCCGCTTGTAATTATGCCGTTACAAGCTTCATAGTTGTATTTATCATCTGAATTTGCCGAAACAAGTTTAATATTCTGAAAGCCAAGACTTTGTTTATTTGAAATCAGATAAAAACAAACTGTAACGGGCCCTGCCGTGTTATCTATGATTACTATACGCCTTACATTCATAATTTCAGCCGGAGGGAGGGGGGGCGGCGCTGCGGAAGAGCAGATTGCGAGTGAGAGGTGCCTGTCATCTTCCCTTTACAAGCTTCACAAATGTATTTATCGTGTGATTTTGGAAATAAAAGTTTCATATTCTGAAAGCCAAGACTTTGTTTATTTAAAATCAAACAAAACACCCGAACCCCGAAAAAATAGTTTTTTACGCAAATCCACGTTTATTTTTAAATGAGCCGTTGCGACTTCCGACTGATTTCGATAGGTGGTAGTGGAGTACAGAGCTTCATGACCGCGGAGCGTGTGAACGTTGACAGCAGCCCTGTCTGTGCACACGGAGGCCGACTCTGTCGTCCGGTGATCTAACCGCCTTCTGGAAAAGCTTCACAAGTACGTCGGTACGCAAATGCGCTTTGTGACACAAGTGACGGTACGCATTTCAGATTGTTGCCGCGCATGCGTACCTGCGTACCAGTTATGTGCACCCCTGAATATAACCTACTTTAATATTGTATCCTCTCCTGCTTAATGCACTAATATATTTGCACTAGTGTCTGCAAATATATCCATTTGGGACTGGGCATCGTTTGCTGAACATTGTTTTGCCCTTCATGATTAGTTAAAAAATGTTCTACCCTACATCTGTGCTTATCAGAAGAAAAGAAAAAGGGATACAATTGACAAAGGCAGAGGTTAAAAAGTTAAAAAATCACAGAGAAGATGCTGAGAGATGAAAACAATGTAATAAAGACGAACAAACAACAGCAATCAACAAGGTCGTCTGCATCTGAACACAGTGTAGGGCGTCATGGTAACACATGCTTTTCATTGTCTTCAATTAGTACCTCATTGTTATCATAGAGGCTGCAAATCAATAAAACCAAATCATAAAAAACAATGCGTCAATGGCACAGGGTCGTGAAAAACACCACTTATGACAGCTCCAAATGACACATATGCTGTTTGCTTAAATTCACTCAAACACCATATTTAGTTCAAGTCAGCATGACTAAATGCCAGTGGTGTGAAGTAACTAAGTACATTTACTCAAGTAACATTTTGAGAGAATTGTACTTTACTTGAGTATTTCAATGTAATGCTACCTTGTACTTCTACTCCACTACAATTCAGAGGTAAATGGTGGACTTTTACTCCTCTACATTTATTTAATTTAGTTACTTTACATATGTGGATTAATGGTGTGAAATATAATCAAATGTTAGTTCCACCTGGAGTAAATCCACAAGCAGTATACAAAGTCATTCAAACTAGCTGCACCTTTACCAGCTTTGAGAACACTTTAATGATAAATCATTATAAAACACATCATATATATTATTCTGAAATGGACCACGACCCAGCAAGCTTCAGGTTGATGATCGGTTTTAGACAGATAAGATGATTAACATAATACATAGGCTAACCCAGCAATGTGAGTTCAGAAACTGCCCAAAGAACAATTGTTGTTGTTGTTGCCGTTTACACTCCTTCTGATGCAAATTGAAAGAAAGTGCACGACAGGGAGGCACTGCTACCTTTGTTTGTTGAAATTGCAGCAAATCACTCTTATGAACAATATTATAGGAAGAGTAGAAGAAGTATGGATAGATAACTACCTTTGTTTGCCTCTGTTTTGTCATGAATTGCTTGTGTAGCATAATGAGCTATACTACAAAAACTGCGGGAAGGGGTGTGGTGGTGCAGCAGGTCTGTGAGGTAGGGGGGGGGGGCTGGTTGTTGAGGGCTTTGTGAGTAATCAGGTGGACTTTGAAGTCGACTCTTTGACGGACGGGGAGCCAGTGGAGGTTCTGGAGGACGGGAGTGATGTGGTCTCGGGAGCGGTTGTGGGTGAGGAGGCGGGCAGCAGAGTTCTGGATATGTTGGAGTTTATTGAGGAGGTTGCCGTAGGCAGGGGTGTCAAACTCAAATACACGGTGGGCCAAAATAAAAAAATCGGTACTAGTCGAGGGCCGGACTGGTTCAATGTTTATTGCAAAACTTATTGAAATGAACTTATTGCACATATTAAACCTAGAACTAACAAAGCTTAAATTATTGCCGATAAAAACAACATTAAACGTTAAATAATCAGTTGCATTCATTTATTATGGCTCTATCTGCAGCTTTTCCGGAGTCATTTCTTATGATTACATGTTTCCACAGGCCAACAACAGCTTAGAAAAAACCAAACATGCCCTGTTGTCGCAAGAAAAAAAGTGCAGAAGGAAACATCCATTGAAACTCAGTGTGCTGCTCTGTGATGCTAGCTCAAGCCAGATACTTGGCATCTCATCTTGGGTGCAAGTTCATCAATGTTTGGGCTCAGGCTCTGAGCTGAGGAAATCCTCAGGATTGAGTGAAGGTGTGCGTGCAATATACCGGCGGGCCAGATCTAATAGTAATTAGAAATTATCCTGCTGGCCGAAATTAAATCCACCAAGGGCCTGATTTGGCCCCCGGGTCTTGAGTTTGACACATGTGCCGTAGAGGATGCTATTGCAGTAGTCGAGTCGTGATGTGATGAATGCATAAATCAGGGTTTCAGCAGCAGAGGAGGAGAGTGATGGGCGGAGACGGGCAATGTTTTTGAGGTGGAAAAAGGCGGTCCTGGTGATGTGATTGATGTGGTGATTGAATTTGAGCTGACTGTCGAAGATGACTCTGAGGTTGCGGATGTGAGGGGGGGGGATAGAGTGTTGCTGTCAATGGTGAAGTTGAAATTCTGGATGGCTTTGGTACGGGATGGGGGGCCGATGATGATGATGTCTGATTTGGCACTGTTCAGTTGGAGATAGTTTGTTTGCATCCATGCTTTTATTTCAGAGAGACAGTTGGTGAGAGTGGAGTGTGTTGTGGGGGTGATGGTTTTTGTTGAGATATAAAGTTGGATGTCATCGGCGTTGCAGTGAAATTGAAGGTTGTGGCGATGAATTATTTTTCCATGGGGGAGCATGTAGAGGATGAAGAAGAGGGGGCCAAGCACTGAACCCTGGGGGACGCCTTGGGACAGATGAGCAGTGGAGGAGGTGCAGTTGTTGATATTGATAAACTGATGTCTGTCGGTGAGGTAGGATTTCAGCCAGGAGAGTGCAGTGTCGGTGATGTTGAGTGATGATTCCAGGAGGGACAGCAGGATGGTGTGGTTGATGGTGTCGAATGCTGCGGTGAGGTCGAGGAGGATGAGGATGTTCAGGTTGCCGGAGTCAGAGGAGAGGAGGAGGTCGTTTGTGATTTTGAGAAGAGCTGTTTCGGTGCTGTGTTTTGATCGGAAACCGGATTGAAATGGCTCAAAGAGGTCATTGGAGCTGAGGTGGGATTTAAGTTGTGAGGCAATGACACGTTCAAGTATTTTTGACAGAAAGGGGAGATTTGAGATGGGCCGGAAGTTGGACATGATGTCGGGTGTGAGTCCAGGTCTTTTGAGAATGGGTGTGACAGCAGCCAGTTTGAGAGAGGGGGGAACTGATCCAGATCTGAGGGAGGAGTTAATGATGGTGGTGATGAGTTGGGAGATGGCAGGGAGGCTCTCTTTAACACATTTGGAGGGCATTGGGTCAAGTGTGAAGGTGGAGTTAATTCCAGTCATGAAGTCGGACAGTTGCATGGGGGTCACAGGGGAGAAGTGGGACAGGGGCTGTGAGGTGAAGGGGGGGGGAGCCAGGTGGGGAGGTGGGGGGTGCTGATGAGGGTGTCAGATTGCTGTAAATGTTGCTGATTTTGGTTTGGAAAAACGAGAGGAAGGAGTTGCACTGTTCGGTGGTGAAGGATGAGGTGGCGTTGTCACAGGGTTTGAGAAGTTTGCTGATGGTGGAGAACAGACGCTTGGGGTTGCTGGAGCCAGACTGAATGAGTTGTGAGTAGTAATTAGACCGGGCTGCTTTGAGTGTGTTACTGTACTGC